TGGGAAATCACCCATTTTGGATCATTTGCGCCCTTGGGGTTCGGCTGGCTATGTGCATAACCAAACTCACAAGTATGGAAAGCTAGGTCCAAGAGCTACCAAAATGGTGTTCATTAGATACCCTGAACATTCAAAAGGGTATGTTATGTTTGGTGAACATCCAGATGGTGGAATGACTGAGATAGACTCACGCAATGTCGATTTTCTTGAGGATGAGTTCCCAAGTATTGGTGAAATTAAGAGAGACCTTCAGTTGTATGAGTTACAACAAGAAATACAAGTATCTTTAGGAGATGAGGGGGATATGTTACCTCAACAGGTCTCCAAAGATAATGAAGTACAAGTATCTTTAGGAGATGGGGGGATATGTTACCTCAACAGGTCTCCAAAGATAGCAAAGTTCTTCTAAATTCCACTAGTGAAAAACAAACTCAAAATGAGGATGAGCCTCATAGAGAAGAGCACGAGATAAGTCATCGAGCTCATAGTCCCATGCCTCTCGAGGACAGTGGGAGAAATTTTTCTACTAGTTTAAAAAATAATGAAGGTCCTACTTTGAGAAGGAGTGATCGTGGAAGAATTCCTCGTCGATTTTTTCAAATTGAGGAGGATGTATTCCTTTGTACTCTTTTAGAAGTAGATGAACCGAACTCTTATAAAAGAGGCAATGAATTCACCATATAATTCAGAATGGAAAGATGCAATGAATGATGAGATGAACTCAATGATTAAAAATAATGTTTGGGAACTTGTTGACCTTCCACCTCATCGTCGATCAATTGGATGTAAGTGGATATTCAAAATCAAGCGTGGGGTGGATGGATCAATAGAAAAGTTCAAAGCTCGTTTAGTAGCGAAAGGTTTTACCCAAATTGAAGGTATAGATTACGATGAGACAATTTCTCCTGTGGTGAGATTTGCCTCCATTCGTCTTCTTTTGGCCCTGGTTGCCCATTTGGATTTAGAATTATTTCAAATGGACGTAAAAACAGCTTTCCTCAATGGTTCTCTTGAGGAAGAGATATATATGGATCAACCTATTGGGTTTGTCCCAAAAGGGCAAGACAATAAAGTTTGTCGCCTCAAAAGATCCATATATGGTCTCAAGCAGTCTTCCAGACGATGGTATCTCAAATTCCATGAAGCCATTTGTGCATTTGGTTTGACCATGGTTGATGAGGATCATTGTGTGTATGTCAAGAAAAGTGAAGAAGGAATTTTGTTTCTTTCTTTATACGTTGATGACATATTGTTGGCTGGAAACGACATGGGAATGATCAACGACACTAAGCAGTGGTTGTCCTCTAATTTTGAAATGAAGGACATGGGTGAAGCTAGGTATGTCCTAGGAGTGGAAATAATGCGAAATCGTCCTAAGAAACTTCTTGGTTTGTCTCAAGAAACATATATTAAAAGAATCTTAGAAAGTTTTCGAATGCATTATTCCAAACCCGTTGATACTCCAGTCGAAAAGGGTTTAACCTTAAGTCTTGATCAATGTCCGAAAACAGATGAAAAAAAACATAAAATGAGTAATGTTCCATATGCTAGTGCAGTAGAAAGCTTGATGTATGCCATGTTATGTACACGACCAGACATATGCTTCTCGGTTGGCTTGGTAAGTCGTTACCAAAGCAACCCTGGGCCTGCACATTGGCAAGCTGTCAAGAGAATCTTGCGGTACCTACGTGGTACAAGTGACTTGGTACTTTGCTATCAAGGTGGGTCCTTGAAATTAAAAGGATACTCGGATGCTGACTGGGGTGGCGATCTGGATGAGTCAAAGTCAACTTCAGGATATGCATTTATATTCGGTGGAGGTGCAATATCCTGGTGCAGTAAAAAAACAAGATTGCATAGCCCTTTCGACTATGGAAGCTGAGTATGTTTCCAGTAGCGTTGCCGTTCAAGAGGCAATATGGTTGAGGAATTTTCTACAGGATCTCAACCTCACCCCAAAGGTTGATGAACCTGTAGAAATGCATTGTGATAATACTGCTGCTATCCAGTATGCCCAGGATCCGAAGTTTCATAGAAAAACCAAGCATATCAAAAGGCGTTATCATTTTGTACGAGACGCAATAAAAAATAAAGAAGTTGTCATTACGTATATACCCACAAATAAAATGATAGCTGATCCTTTAACTAAACCTATACGCAGAGATGCTTTCCAAACTCATGTGAAGAGTCTTGGTTTGCGTAGGTTTTAATTTTATTTTTGTGGGATAATGGATGTGTAAAATGTTACACCGAACATATATGAAATTTGTTGTTCTTTGATATGTTCTTTAGCATATGTTGCATAAGTAGGCATGAGTAAAGATGTCACCAGGCTTTTGATTACGCTTATCACACAGGTAATCGCCCTATCACATTAGTTGTGAGTAATAGGATGAGACTATGCCATATTCATATTACGTGTATGTAGTATGGATTGTATTTATACTTTCGTTGTATAAATATATTTTTACAGTCGCCTTAGTAAGTCTAAGATGAGACTCTAACGAGTCGAATATGAAATAATCCTGATTTCATATCAAAGCCTTGAAGCCGAATCTCGAGTGGAAGATAAATTATTAAGTATATTTATCAAGTGGCTCGGGTTAGATACTTGAGTAATATCTAGACTAAAGATTCGTATAACATAGTAGAGTGACATACCCATCATAGTGGGAGCTATGTTATGACACGTATATCATACTGCGTGTGCTTTGAACGACCGTTAAGGAT